TCGCAATCACCAAGGCCCGCAATTGGATACTTGATCACGGCGGGGTCACAATGATACCTGCATGGGGGAAGCTTTATCTTTCGGTAATAATCTTCAAGTACAGATTTTGATTCTTTTTTCTTTCAATAAAATACTATATCTGAAATCAAATTGATGTAGAAAATCAGTAAAAAATTTTTTTGATCAGCATCGGATATAAATAGGATATTAATTAATTGTGTTTTTTTTTTTAAAAAAAAAACTCTCTCTCTCCTTAAGGTTAAAAGTTTTTTGTCATTCCAAAGGTACTTGGAACGTACGAGTGGTCAGGCTGCAACCCAATGCCTCCAGAATTTTTGCTATTCCCTTCCTCTCTTCCTTTCAGTCCAGGTAAATGACTAGTTTATGGCAACAAATCTGTCTTAAACTTGGTTAGAGAAAAGCTTAATAGAAACTTTCTTCTCATAATTTGTCTCTCATATGAAATGCAGGAAAGCTATGGTGTCATTTGCGCACAGTTTACACACCCATGTCTTATTTGTATGGTAAGAAATTCGTGGGACCGATAACCGATCTCATTTTGCAACTAAGGGATGAACTTTACATTCAACCTTATGAAGAAATAGATTGGAATAAAGCACGCCATTTATGCTTGAAGGTGATTAATCTGTCTTACAAATTCATTTAATGTAAGTATGTAACTACTATAAATAATTTGAACAAACAAGATAAGTACTTCCCTCTTACTGTTCTGTTTTCGAATTAATATTTCTGAAAGTTGATTACTTGTATTTCTAATAAAATGACGCAGGAGGATCTTTACGTCTCCCGCTCTCTTGCACAAAATCTGCTTTTTGATGGTGTTCATTACTTGAGTGAGAGGCTTCTTAGACATTGGCCCTTCTCCAAGTTAAGAGAGCAAGCTCTAAAAGAAGCAATGAGGCTTGTTCACTATGAAGACGAGAATACTAGATATATGACTCATGCTAGTATAGAAAAGGTAATCCTGTAGAACATATATAGGTGAATCATTCGTCACAAACTGAAGTAATGAAGTTTTCTTCTAAGGTCAAGATGCTATAAGAATAATGATTGAAAAATTCTTACTAGATTAGATTTCGCTTGAGTTCTTGTTATGGTAGAATATGAATAATGACTACGTTGGATATTTTCAGTCGTTGAACATGATGGCTTGCTGGGCAGAAGACCCGACTTCAGATGCGTTCAAATTTCACCTTGCTAGAGTTCCTGATGTTTTATGGCTTGCTGAAGATGGAATGAAAATGCAGGTTTGACGTTTATAAGATGTGATTCAGCTGCAGCTGCAGTAATTAAACATGTCAGTAATAAACAAATACATAAGAATTGGATTGTTGCTTTTGACAGAGTATTGGCAGTCAGTTATGGGATGCTGCGTTTGCTACTCAAGCTATTATAGCAAGTAATCTTGTAGATGAATATGGCTCTACTCTCAGAAAAGCACACGAGTTCCTGAAACAGTCACAGGTTTATTCCCGAGTCCAAAAGAAATCAAAATTTATCTGTTTGCCGGTCCGGCAACTTACTCTTTAGTTGTTTTGTCATGGCTTCACAGCCCTTGTTCAGACTCAGAGCAAGTGGCTGTTCAACAAATCTGTGTTTTATTATCTCCTTATTTTATTTTGTTGTACAACTAAATCCTCAGATTCAAGAAAATGCTTTTGGAGACTTTAGAAGCATGCATCGTCATATTTCTAAAGGAGCATGGACTCTCTCCATTAAAGATCATGGGTGGCAAGTCTCGGATTGCACAGCTGAAGCACTAAGAGTAAACGAAGTTCAAGTTGTCTTTTTAAAAGTTAATATCATAAATATTAGGTTTGTAATGAAAAAAATTTCCTTCTTTTTCAGGCCTTACTCCTGCTTTCACAAATGCCAGCAGAAATTGTCGGTGATACAATCGACACAGAAAGAATATATGATGCTATTGATTTCCTCCTATCTTTACAAGTATGACCGTCATTTATTTTTTAGCAGCAAGACTCACTATACAGACAAGTTTTGCACAGATAAATCAACTTTTCATATCTCTCTCATTTTATTTATTTATGGCCAGAGCGAAAATGGTGGTTTTTCTGTTTGGGAGCCAGCAAGAGGGCAGAGGTGGTTGGAGGTAATATTTTTAGAGATTTTCTTTCAAATCAACTGGGAACTTAATTTGTCCTCTTCTAAGTATATACGTTCCCGTGATGCCTTCTTCCTCAGGTGCTAAATCCCACCGAAGCTTTTGGAGATGTGATGGTTGAAATCGAGTATGTTCAATCCACTTTATCCTTTACATAGATATTCATGTGTCTCCGAGAAGGTGCAAATTGATGTTGCTTCCTGGTGGTTTAGGTATGTTGAATGCACGGCATCTGCCATCCAGGCTCTTGTATTGTTCAAACGCTTACATCCTGGATACCGAAGCAAAGAAATAGAAATTTCTGTGGCCAAGGCATCAAGTTATATTGAAGATGCACAGATGAGCGATGGTTCTTGGTAATTTCTGTATCCTATTAACTGAGTCAATGGAGAAAATCATAAATACGCAAACAAGAAGAAAATGCATTATAGGGAATGCAGAGTAAGAAAATAGTTATATGGTCTGATGACAGGTACGGAAGTTGGGGGATTTGCTACACATATGGAACATACTTTGCATTAAAAGGGCTAGCTTCTGTTGGAAAGACACACACAAACAGCAAGACAGTTAGGAAAGCTTGTGAATTTCTGCTGTTAAAACAGCACAACTCAGGAGGTTGGGGAGAGAGCTATCTTTCCTGCGCCAACTCGGTAACTGCCCTATTATATTACATATTTGTTCATACTTAAGCTCCAAGTTACCAGAATCGAATTACCCCTATTACCGGTTGGGACACCTGGAAAATTGTTTCAAACAGTTAGCTTCCCCATCAAATTGTTTAGGCTCTAACAATTGGATCGGAATGTCTGACCAAACAGGAGTATACAGAGATAGAAGGAAACAAATCAAATGTGGTACAAACGGCATGGGCAATGATGGGTCTTATTCATTCAGGACAGGTAAGTGGTAGGTTAAATTTCAAAATAATCATGCCATGAAGTAAAACTAATTAGTATAATCAGTCTGCTTTGATGATAAAAATTCATTTCCACGCTGCCACTAATCCTGCTACAAGGTCTCATAATACAATACAAAAATAGAAAAACTTTCAAAACAACAAACCAACTCTCTAAACCCCAATTGAAAAGCTGAACTAATGTAGAAACTTAGATTTTCCTTTGAAAATATCTATTACCACACAAACTAAGACAGATGTATTCTGCACTTTAGACAACAACCACTTAGAACACTAAACTAGAGTACTGGTACGAAGAAATTGATTCCTATTTCCTGCTCTCCCAATGTGATTAATTTAATTTTTCCAGGTTAGTATTGGTAAATACTCCCACTTGAAAAGATTCTATCTAAAAATTATCCCCACAAGATGTCATCTCCCTACTTCCTAGCAGCCTAGTGCGAAAACTCCGCATGAGCCCACAAACTTCATTTCTTGTAAGGCAGTTTAATCAGAATTCTAGCAGAAAAAGAATATTGTATTCATCCCTCTACTCCAATGGGTCTCCCTGCTGTAGAAATCCTGTTTGAGACTTCTTCAAGAAAAGAAATAATGTCTTGGTTAGCATGCAACTCAACAACTATCTTGAATTAGAAAAGGCCATCAATACAGGAAAACCATATTGACTTGGAATGTCTTTGGAAAAGGGGAAACAAAAAGGCATGGTTATCAATTTGTAAACATTTTTCTTCCATTTAAGGAAAGAAGAGAAAATTCTTAAGCGTTTAACTTCAGAAGCAAGATGCCAGCTGTGACAAAATCAACCGAACCTAATTACCATGATGAAACAAGCTCCGAACTACGAGTTCTTCTTTGAAGTAATGTTGAAAATGCGATCCTCTTCAACCATTATGCAATTCCAGTTTGTAGAGTTCAAGTTACTGCATACTAAATGGTTTGCCAAAGCATTGTCTTCTCTATTATTTTCATACTAAGTGCAAGTTTTGACCTTTTTTCCCACTTCCTAACAGGCTGAGAGAGATCCAGCACCTTTACATCGAGCAGCAAAGCTGCTTATCAACTCACAGCTGGAGAATGGTGAATTTCCTCAACAGGTATGGCTTACTATTATATGGTTCTAGCTGTCTTCCTCTTGTTCTTTCCAAATAACAAACTAATGAGGCCACATATAAGAAACAGAAGAATTTATCTGCACTTATAATATTCCATAATACTTTTTACTTTTAAAATTCTCTGTAACTCTTAACCGTGAATTCTTTCTCACAGGAAATGACTGGGGCCTCCTTGAGGACTTGCATGCTACATTATGCTTCATTTAAGAACATCTTTCCACTGTGGGCTCTTGGAGAGTATCACAAGCGTGTGCCCCTGCACAAGCTTTGTTAACCTCAATTTGTATCTTTGAATGCTTGGCAGAGGAATAGGATTACTGTTACACTATTTAAAGAAATTTGTATGGCAAAAGCATTTACCTACAATGTTCATAATGTATCTTAAGGTAAAATTAAATTAATTTGTACATGATTTTTTTTAAAAGATAAATAAATTTATATCCCAAGCATATACATAAGGATTAAATTCAACTGATTAATATTCCACAGTGCAATGTCAGCAAACATGTGCAAGACAAGCAATAGATGATTATGGAACATCGACATTAATGTAGTAAATATGCAAAGAAAAGAATGAACAAAGCATAGACTATTACCCCTCTTCGGTGTGAATTGTAACATGTACGTGAATACTCAAAATTAGTTTCCTAATTCATACGAATGAGAAACATCAAGAGCAATGCTTACTATTAAAAGTAGCAGGCACAACTCATATAAACATATTTGTAAAAAGTTAAGAAAGGATGTAACAGCATCGCTTACAAGTTTCAGCAAGTTAATTCCTCGCTGTGACGCCCTCTGATTGTTTTACTTGATTAAACCCTTGTTCTTAGTGAAACTGGGACACTTTCCTACTCTCTTGATTTCTTATGATCAAAACATTATCAAGCTCCCTCTGCAATTGTGATCTCAATCGGTAGTTAGAAGCCAAACTTGTGTCCAAATTCTCCTTTACAGCAAGAAGTTGTGATTTACTCAACTCTGCTTCAGCTATCTCAGAATTGTTCAAGAACCCATTGTTCCCTTGAAGTTTTATGAAATTTGAGTTAAGCTGATCAAGGAAACATCAAATTCAAAACTAACATGTAGATGATTCACTACAACTTCACCCAAATCAAAATGCTATTCAGAATCCTTACCTCATTCACACGATTCCTTAACTCTTTAACTTGAATACGAGATTCCTTAATAAACTTATCCGCATTTTCACTAAAAGCCTTCATTTCAAGACCCTTTACTTGATAAAACCTCTCCTTCTCCTTCTCCATCTCTTCCATCTCCTCCACTTCACTCTTGAAAACCCTAAAACCCAACCCAAAATCAGTTCAATTTTTACACTTCAAAACATAAACAGACGAAATGACTATCACCTTTACCTGAATTGTTGTGAATCAGCATCGTATTTAGCATCGAGGTTCTCGATTTCCGATTTAAGAGCCAAGATTTTGAAGTTTTGAAATGCAATTTTGTGGTCAAGCACCAAGCACCTTTGTTCCATGGACCGAATATTTGCCAACTTCGATGCTAATATATGAGACTTGCTCGCTTGCAATTCTTTCTCTGCCTGCAACCATATTTTGTTTTGCGTTTTTCAAATTTTCTCGGTAACCATACAGAGAGTTAGGGTTGGTTACGGTTTAAGATTGGGGATGACCTGGAGAAGAGAGAGACGTTGATTTCTGGTGTTTTCCATGTGCTCCAACCTTTCTTGAAACGCAGAGGAAAGCGCCATTGTTGCTATAAAACGCAGGGCCCTTCAATTTTTCTTCAAAATGAGAATTAGAAGATGATGCGTCTGTCCACGAGATTTGAATTTGGGGTTTATATAGAAAGAGCCAAAGGTAGTTGGCCTGGCCAGGAAAAACACTTCACGACTAGAGCATTAATACATGCCTATAGCAACCGATAATTTATGCACATAGCTGCAAATGATTAATAATTTCGTTGTGAAATCCTCTAATATTGATTTGCTTACGGTTCATTTTTTTTTTTAAATAAATTATGTAGGTTTATTTTGATATATATGACTGTCATAGGGTCTATTACAAGTGCATGGGTTACAATATCGTAGATTAAGATAAATTGAATATCGTTTCCACAAATAAGAGAGTTAAGTTCTAACTAAACAATTCCTTCTATTATCTAGATAAATCAGTTTAGAGTGATTAATCTAAAAATTAATGGATGCAAGTTTTAAACTTAGACAGACAATTATAGGAAAAAGGGTTCTAGAACTTAGACTTTGTAAACTAAATTCTTTTAATGAATTCAAAATCGAATTGAGTGAATCTATTCTCGTTAATATCAATGATCAAATTCATTAAAATACGTAATGATCTCTTTCAAGACTAACCAACCATACCTATATTAATCAACATCCACTTTAATGATTGTAGATTTTATTACAAGCTCATCACGCACAATGGAATTATCAAACAAATCACAATTGTGTGTTCTTATTTGTAAACCACACTACTAAGGTTTGATGCTTTCACAAACTAATATTAAACTTCAACTTTTATTCCATTATTTAATATCATAAACATGTAAATAATGGCTAGTTACTTATAAGAATAAAAATTGAAAACATCAAATTCCATTAACAAAAACGTTCATACAATCATATGCTTAAATTATCACCGAAGTCAACATGAATGATGAACTTCTTTACTTTAACCAACACATTTTCCAAAATACTCAAAAAATTACTTTATTGATGGATCAACTAGTTATAAAGAAATAGTAGTAGACTTCATCTTATTCAATCCAAGCTTTTTGCACATTGATAAAGGCATCAACAAAACACTAACACCTAAGTCACACTTATTCAATCCAAGCTTCTTGAACACCGATAAAGGCATCAACAAAATACCTACAACTAAATCACACAAAGCCTTAGAAAAATCAACACCACTAATAGTGTAAGGGATATATATATAGATTCTTTGGATCTCTTAACTTTGGTGGAAGTTTATTCTAAATGATAGCATTTCACTCTTCAATCATAGCAATAGTCTCATAATTATGCAATTTTCTCTTATTTTACATAATCTCCTTAAGAAACTTTTCACAAGTTGGAATTTGTGCTAAAACATCTACTAAAGAAAAGTTAATATGCGGTTTCCTACACATTTTAAAAAACTTTTCAAATTGTTTATCAATCTTATTTTGCTTAAGCCTTTAAGGAATGGAAGGGATATAAGGTTTTACCGGTGGTGGTGGTGGTGGAGATGGTGTCTTGGTCTATTCAACTTCTTTTCATCCTTCTTACTCGTATTTTAATGGCTCACTTCATCGCCATCACCCACTATAGTCTAACCACTTACCTAACCGAGTTGTTTACCACTTCTCGGGATGATTGTTTTGCACTACTTCTTTAGACTTACCTTTTATCTTATTAGGTAGGTTTCCTTGACTATGAGAGTTGATTGCATTTGATAACTAACCTACTTGAACTTCTAAATTGGAGATGGAACTTGCCAATTAATCAATTTTAGCCTCCAACCTCTCAAAACACTTTAAAGTGACATTGGTTAGCTTTTTAATAGCTAGCTCCTAACTTTGCTTGCTCTTAGGGTGTTGCATCATTTTCTTGTGGTCTTAGTTAAAAACCAAAAGGATGGAGAGGTCTCGGACTACTATCTTAGTTATCTTGATCTCTATAGAAAAAAATCAGTCCTTTAACCTAGGTTCTAATTCTAGTAATAGGAATTGTTCTACTATTACCACCTTATTAAACTTTGAAACAAATTGTGTTTTCTCAACCTAGACACAATCAAAACTAAGATGTGCTTTTTTACACCAATTACAATTCATAGCAAGATTAATGTTAGAAACAATATTAACATTACCTATCTTCACAAACATTTTAACTAGATTATCAAACTTGGCATTCAACATATTTATTCCATCAATATCATATATACTTGAAGCTCTCTTAGGTATAAATCTTTCATTTGATCATTGATAATTATTGAAATTCTTATCTTCCAATAATTTTATGTTGTTCTCTTGACTTACCCATCGGGTTAAGTCATGTAGTTACATCTATGGTGATTTTGACTGAATTTGTCAAACCATTATAAAATTTTTACACAATCAACTAGTTAGGTAGACCATAATATGGATATTTTTCCGTAGTTCTTTAAACCTTTCCCAAGCTTCATTCCAAGATTCATCGTCAAACTAAACAAAACTAGTAATACCATTTCTAAGCTTTGTAGTCTTACCTAAGGAAAAATACTTACTCAAAAAGGCTAGTGATAAGACATTCTAGGTGGTCAATAAATTAAGAGACTTGGAGTTTAACCAACTTTTGGATTTATCTTTCAAAGAAAAAAAAAATCTCAACTTGATTGCATCTTCACTAAATCCATTCATTTTAATTGTGTCACAAATCTCTAAAAAATTAGCCAAATATGCATTAGGTCTTCAAAGAATCCTCCATCAAACTACTCCCGTTGTACCATTTGGATGAGACTAGGTTTGATCATAAAATTATTAATATTCATCACTAGTCTCGTAATACTAGTCCGAACACCCTTAACACTTGGCATGGAATAATCATACAACAACCTTTGATTATGATTCTCATCATTAGCCATAGACAATACTTGTTCTTGCTCTAACCTTTGTTCTTTCCTTTATGCACGTAAAGTTCATTGATAGTGAACACTAATGATTATATTCATTATCTTATATTTAGTCTTTTTATGTGATTTTAGGTTATATTTACTAAATTAAGTTTATTTTATGATTTAGGAGATGATTTGAGACAAAAGAACAAAAGTGAGATAATTAAGACAAAATTCTAATGTTGATAGATTGACCTTTAAACGAAGAAAATAATAATTTTACATCCTTAGAGCTCCGAACATAAAAGAGACCTTTTAAAAAATTAAATTAGACATCTTATCATTTCTAGATTTGGTTAAAATGCACAAATCCATTTTATTTTGGGCTGACAAAGTTAGTTGCAAAGTCAAAAAAGAAATTCATATCCCGTGACAATTCAAAATAATAATCAGTATTTGGGCAATTTATAGAGATATACATACTAGATTATGATGATATAAAAGCATACAATATATATATATATATATATATATATATATATATATATATATATATATATATATATATATATATATATCCAAGGCTACAACATTCATACAAACTCCAAGTTCAAAATATACTACCTCCTAATCCTAAATCAATTCAAAAGTTACAACATGAAACTTAGAGTCTTATTTAGCTACAAGTCCTAATTAATTTATGAAATAATCCTAAATAGGACTTATGAGCTAGGAATGTACATTAGAGTTACACCTTATTTATGTAATTTAGGGTTTATTGCTTCAAAAAATGTCAAGTTAATTTCATCAATTTAGTTCAAGGAATTTCAAATTTAATTTGAAAAAGATTATAAGGTAGAGTTTGATCTTTAAACTATTCTTAACAATTTAAGTATTTTTGTTTTTCTAAATATAATTAATTGATCTCTAAATTTAATTAATTATGATTGCATAGATAATTATTTAAGAAGCTCATTAGCCGATTGTTTATAGTAATTGACAACTAGCTAACTTTTTTTATCCGTAAAATTAGCACAAATACCAAATTAGGTTTTCATCATTATGATCTCAGTTTTTGAGACTATCTAAGAGAAATAAAAAGATAAATTAAATGATTTTAGGGGTCCTAAATCATTATTCGATCTTAGATATATTTCTAATTCGTAATGTTATTATTGATTTGACTAGAATTAGGTTTACCCTACATTTAGACCCCGTACATTTTAAATTTTTTTGAGACCCTTTATAATTTCTTATCTTGATTGAAACTTTCTATCCTTACAAATTTATTAATTTAGACCCTTTGCTAAATATGCACCCTACATGACATGTTAAAAAATAATAGTAACCAATTAGGATAAGAAATGTGGCATTATAGGTCTCAATTGTGAACAAAATCGATCCAAAAAAGAAAATTGTAATTAAGAAGATTTATATTATTAAAATAATATATAATATATAAAAATAAAAATAAAAAGATGAAAATGCCCTAACCCTTATTATACATTCCTCTCCTATCATTCTCGTACTCTCGTTCCCCTATTCTCTCACTTTCTTATTTTGTCAAAACCACTTAAATCCCTAAATCTCAAAAACCATTTAAATCCCAGTAACCCAAACACAAATCACGATGATTCTCAAATCTAAATCCCTAAAATCCTCAAATCCAATAATCCCAAAATGCAAAATCCCTAATTTCAAACTCGTTCATATGTTGTCATCCTCCTCTTGCCATCCAAGAAGACATGACCATTTTGTCCAAATCCTCTTTCTCGTCCAAATGTTTAAAAAATTATGAAGAACCATCAATTGCATGTTTCTATAAGATAAAAATAATTAAGATATTGTCTTAGAGTGATGAACACGTAAGTGTTAGATTTAATATTTTTCCATTTCTATTTAATGGAAGAGGAAGACAAGATGTTGGGTATAACTTTATAATGTGGTTTGAAATTCTTCAAGAATATCTTCTCTTCTTGGCTTCTTTTCCTTGCATCTATTATAATATTCTATCTTCTAATTTTACATTTTTTTTGAATAAGAAAACTTGAGTTACATTTGAGGGGAGTAAGATGAGAAAAAAATATATCAAAATGATAGAAAATGTAGGACACGGAAGCTCTATTTAACAAAAAATTACAAACATACATTTCCAAAA